GCTGCCCTCTCCATCCCCTGGGGCTCTGACAGCACTGCTCTGGCACGAATAAACTTTCCCAGTCTGTTGTGGTGCTGCTGTGACTCGTGTTTCCAGCTGCAGAGAAAGGAAAACAATTTTTCAGGAATCCATCGGGCGATTGTGCAAATAAATGTTTGTGAGGCCTTTGGCTGCCATAGCGATGAGCTCCATGGCAACCCCGCAAGGAAATGAATAATTCTGTGCTCGAAGTGGAATAATTTTGTGCTGGAAGTGGAAGATAAAAAGGGACCTGATGGCTGAGGGTGCTGCAAATTAGCTGATGAGCAAAGCACCCAAGTGCCCCCCTGGTGTGGGTGCTTGTGGAAGCTCTCGGTAATGGGGCAGTGCTGGGATGCAGGTGGATGCTGTGGGGCTGTGGCAGGGCTGCCAGAAAAGCCTTTTGTCTGGTTATTCCATGGTTTCCACGCAGCCAGGTTTATTGAAGGCAGCTCCAGGTCGTGCACAGGCTGTAGCTGCCCCTCCTGACACAGCCTCTGCTCCGTGTCCAGCACACCCTGAGCCCCTGAAGATGCTGCACCCCTGGGTTTGTCTCAAATGTGCCTTTGATTCCTTCTCTACAGTTCTAGCTACGCTGGAAGCATTCCTGAAAATGAAAGCCAGCCTTTTTCTGGGCTTTGAAGTGTGGAGTTGAACTGAACAGAGAGGAGGGAAAAAAAAAATAAAAATCTATCCAGTGGGGGATGGGTTTTTAGAAAAACACCCTATTGAATCAACAGCATTTGTATTAAAACCAGCAAGTCCTTGGAATATTTCCATAGGAACCAGCCCTCCCATTCTGGCCAGGCTCCCTGCAGCAGCATCCAGAGCTGTGGATGAGTGGGGAGCAGTGGCAAGGGGGGCTCTGGGCTGTGCCCACCCCGGGCAGGGGCAGCAGGGCAGGGAAGGTTGCTCATTGTTGAGTCAGTGATTCACAGCTGTGACTCACAGCCCCATCCTATAGCCATGGAAGGCAGCCAGCTCTGGCCATCATCTGTGTGCATTCTCCACTGTCAGAAGTTATTTTTGGATGTTTTTAGATTACAGCCCTTGGGTTTTTTTTTCTGTGCCTCTGAATTCTGGATGATTGCGCTGCCAGTAAATACCTTTTTTTTTTTTTTTTTTTTTTTTTTCTTTTTTTTTTGCAATGCTAAGGCATTTCTAAAATAGCTTTTCTACGTGGCGTCATGAGCAGGCTCACAGCTTTGGGGCTCTTTGTGCAAAATTCAGGAGCACTGGGTGCAGCAAGGGTGTAAAAAAAGGACATGGGGGTGTCAGGTTGAACATGAATCACCAGCACACCTTTGCTGTGATGGAGACTGACTGGTTTCACTGGTCAGGTTGGAGCCAGCAGGACAAAAGTTGCCCTCAATTCCCCTGTGGCACTCACAGAGCCACACTTAGAGCACTGTACCAAATTTTGGTCTCCTCACTGCAACAAAGGCAGGGCCATGTGAGAGCCACCAAAATGAGCCCCAGGCAGGGTGGGAGAGGCTGAGAGCTCCTTCCACTCGAAAGTGTGGGAGCTGGGAGCACTGCAGGATCCTGAAGGACCCTTCCAACCCAACCCATTGTAGGGTTCTATGATCTGTGCCCCTCTTCCAGTCTGATTTTGTGATCTCACAGGGAATTAAGGGGATGTAGGGCTTTGGGTCTCCCCCAGGCTGTGGGGTAATGGAGGGGCTGGTGGGGCTCATGTGTTCATCCCTCACTAAGACCACAAGGAAGGCAGAGGGAATTTGGAAAAAAGGAATGTGGAATGCTGCCCATCCTGAGCTGGCTGCTGATGCACGATCCTCCTTCCCTGGGCCACACCACTCTAAACCAAGAGCTCAACCTGAGCAAGACCCGCGTTTCTCGGTACAGCCGCTCCCCTGGGAGGGTTGGACTGTGCCACTCAGACCCCTCCCAGGCAGCAGGCACTGCCCAGACCCTTCATCCCTCCCTTCCCAACCCATTCCTGGCCGAATCTGCTGCCCAGCGCTGCCAGCTCTCCTGTCTGTGCCCTCAAGCAGCCCTGGGGCCGAGGGCTGTTGGGATGGGGTCAGGAATCCTGGTGCAGGTGAATTTCCTGAGCACAGGGTGAGCTTTTCCCACTGCCCTAGGACACAAAAAAGCTTTGACGGGAGGCAGGAGGAATTTCTGTACAGGGAAGCCTGAAGGAGGGGTGGGAGAGGAGGCAAGAGTCATTTGGGAGGTGGAAAATGTGATGCTGGCTCTGCCACATCAAAGAGGGAGTTGAACCTGAGCCTCTGATTTCAAAACGGAATTCAAACCACCAGAATATTACAATCGAAAAAAAACCCACCCAAAATATATTTGTCACTTTTTTGTGCTTTCTCTCCCCTCATCTCTGGGTACCACCAGCATGTTTGGGCAGCTCCCAGAGCCAGGAATCAGCGGCTGGGAGGCTCAGGGATGTTTCTGAGCAGCTTTTCCCAAGCCCTGAAAAACCTGTGAACCTCATCTTGCAGCCGGGGGTGGGGCAGGAGCTGCTGGGGTTAACGGGTGGCTGAATGGGTTGTGGTTTGCAACGGAGTTGAGGTTCCTAAGTCCTTTATTGGATCTAGCCCGGGGCTCTATTCCCAGCCCTGTTTGTGACATTAACAGGTCACTGCGGCCCCAGGGCTGTCCCCACCTTGTCCTGGCGCGGCACCGAGCAGGGGACCCGTGCCTGAGGAGTCTCGGCACAACCATCATGGAGAAATCAATTTGGGAGGCGAGCACGCCTTTTCTGACCTTCTTCTGACCTTTTTTGAAACCGTGCCACCAGCCACGGGGCGCAGGAGGGCACAGAAACAGTGCCAGGATGCCCCGGGAGGCGGCAGGCAGCAGGTATTTCAGGATGCTGCCGGCAGGGTCGTGCCGGGGCAGCTTCTGCTCCATTAGTGGTTATTTGCATCCTCTAAAGATTAACTGGAGTGAGAGCAGCACCCTGTGCCCGGCTGGGCATGGATCGGGGATGCAGAAGGGGAGGGATGGTCCTGTGGTCCTGGCTCAGGTCCTGAACATCTTTGACTGAGTTAATAAGACCAGATTTTCTGTAGAGCACCTAGGGGTGCCCACACGGCATCCTTACAGTCAGATATTGTGTTTCAGAGGGGGTTTGAACATATATTCACAATTCCAGCATGGTTTGGGTTGGAATGGACCTCCCAGAGTATCCCATCCTACCCCCTGCAATGGGCATGGACACCTTGGACTATCCCAGGCTGCTCCAAGCCTGGCCTTGGGCACTTCCAGGGATCCAGGGGCAGCCACAGCTTCTCTGAGCACCCTGTGCATAAGAAAGGATTTCACAGGGATGGTGAAAGCTCGAGTGCACTCAAGGCTTCTCTCCTTGCAGAGCTTTGATGCAGCCCCGAGGTCACTGTGGCAGGTACAACCTTCAGGAAGGCGCCTGTGGGTCCATCCCAATTCCAAAATGTCCATATCGAGCCTGTTCTGTGTGTGAGGGTGCAGGGGCAGGGGGCACTGGGGCAGGGGGATTTGCAGGGTGCAGGGTGCTGAGTGCTCGGCACGGGGCCACCAGCGGGACAGCCCGGGGCTGGGCATGTCACCTGCTTCAGGAGCTCAGGGGCTGAGCAGGAACCTGGTGTCTCAGCAGGATGTTGAGATCTCATCTGGGCTTCAGGGTCTGAGCAGGGTTTTGGGGTCTGAGCAGGACATTGGGGTCTGAGCAGGACATTGGGGTCTGAGCAGGACATTGGGGTCTGAGCAGGACAATGGGGTCTGAGCAGAGTGTTGGGGTCTGGCAGCTCTTGGTTTTAAGGATGGTGGAGGATGCCAGCTCCATGCCTTGTAGCCTGGTGGATTGAACACTTTCCTGGGAAATGGGGTAAGGTCTCTTCATGGGAAGGGCTTCCCAACCCCCCACCCTCTCCTATCTCACTTCAGGAGGGCTCCCAGCTGCAAGAGCAGGGCAGCCTTCATCCCAAGGGAGCCAGCACACGGCCAAGGGCTAAATCCTGGCACTCCAATGGATGGAAAGGGCTGTGGGTGGTCAGTGACTGGGAGAGGAGACAGCGGTGAGCTGAGCGGTGGGGTCATTTAGGGACAGAGCAGAGGGGACCCCAGGAAGCTGGTGAGATGTTTAGGAAGTTGTGGAGGCTCTGGAGGGGCTCTGGGAGCACAGCCCTGAGCAGTGAGCGGTGGCTGAGCACAGCTGACACCTGGCAGACATGAAAGCCGGGCTTGTTAGGCTGCACACAGAGTGCTGATTGTAGCCTCGGCCACAAAACCTCCTCAGCCAAAGCCTGACAGCATCCCCTGAGCTTTCCCAGGCGGATCTGTGGTGTTCAGCACCCCCAGCAGCCAAGGGGAACTGAGGCAGATGCCCAGATGCTCCCTGCTCTCCTCTCCCTGCTGCTCCAGCCTCCCCAGGACTGATCTCAGACTCTTTTCAGAGCAAATTCTGTGGTGCCAGGCAGCTGCTCCATGATGATCCCAAATCTCACCACACCACGGGGTTTTCTCACCCTTCATCACATGAATGAAGCTGCAGAATGGAGTTGTAACCTGAAAGAGCTTGAAAGGTGCATCCACTGCAGAATGACAGAGGAGCTGGTGCATATCTCTGCACCTCTGGGGCTTTAGGACTGCAGTTTTTGTGATATTAAACTGTAATTTTGGCAGTGGATTACGTTATATCCCGTGGCAGGGGGTTGGAAATAGATGATCTTCAAGTTCTCTTCTGACCCAAACCATTCTGTGATTCCATGTGGGTGGGATTTGGAGGAGAGGAGATGCTTGGCTGCAGCCTCTGAGGGCAGCAGGAGTTGGGAAGGTGTTGCTGGAAGCACCATTGAGCCCACAAGTGCTTTTGGTGGTTATTCTTCAGGAGCCTGGTGAGGGATGGACACCTCTGAAAGGGTCTTGTCTCCTGAGTGCTGTGTAGTAGAAGGACTTAGAGCATGCACTGGTCCAGCCCACTCCTCCTGGCTGAGCTGGAGTAACTTTCTGTTTGTTTTCTTTTCCCACAGCTCCCAGAATGGAGAGGAAGCTGGAGCCTGGCCCAACAACCAGTTTGACACGGAGATGCTCCAAGCCATGATCCTGGCTTCAGCCAATGGTTGGTGTCCATCACTCCTGGGAAAACCCTGACTCCTGCTCTGGGGCCGTCTCGGGTTCATGCTGGTAGATAAGATGCTGTGGGACTGATTTATCTGGGTTAGCTGGGCTGGCTGCAGAAGTTCTGCTTCAACAGATCCCAAAGCTGGTGGAAAATCACTGATGTCCCTGCAGAGAGAGGGGTCAGGAGGGGTCCAGGCAGAGGAGATGTGGTTCCTGCAGACAGGGACACCTCTTCCACCCAAACTCTGCTTTGTACTGAAACAACACGGCCTGCCTGTGCTGTGCTTGTGCTACGTGACAGAGCCAGTCTGGAGGTGATGCTTTATAAACTCCTTGGTTCCAGAAAGCCACAGGAAATTAAACTTGCTGGAAGGTGAGGAGGAAGGAAGGCTGGAAGTTTGTGTCTGGCTAGAGGCAGGACCAGGGAAACAGCGAATGCCTGACTCAGTATTCCCAACAAACCTTGTGTGCAGAGGAGCTCCTGAGTCCCTCTGCTGGAACTCACCAAGGTTTCCCCCACTGGCTGCTGCTGTCTCCTTGCAGTTGTATTCACAGGAGGGTGGTTTGGGGTCATTTTGGGTTGGTTTGTTCTGGTTTATGGCTGTGCAGAAGCCTTGGGCAGGGAGGGATGTTCCCACACACCCACAGTCTCCGTGGCTCTGCATAAAACAAGGACGATTATAATTCTGTGCAGTGCTATGGATAAAGAGCCTGGTTTTCATAGAGCCTTTATTTATAAATACCTCCAAGTCTTGCCCCCCCCTTGATATAGAAATAGAAGCACAGCCATGAAACCCTGTGCGAAATGCTTAGCATGTTTCCTTTGAGCTGTTGGGAGGGAAGGAATCTGAGGGAGGAGGAATGGCTTTGGTGTTGCTTTCTTGGAAAGCTGCTGCAGCTGAAGTTTGCTGCTTCACAGACACCAGGAGACAGCTGCCGTGGCTGGGGAGGGGGACGAAGGTCTGGGGCAAGGGAGTTGTTTACACTCAAGAGAAAGAAACAATGTGAAAATGTGTCTTTGCTCTGAAAAACGACGGTGGAAAAATAGCCCTTGGGGTTGCATGTGGTTATCATCACCCAGTGTCTCCAGATCCGGTTTCCTTGCTGGTAAATAAAGCTGTTTTTCTGGCTGCTGCTCCAGCAATCCCCAGGATCAGAGCTAAGCGGGTCCCTTCCAGGTTAAGCACCGACTTTCACGGAGCCCCGGGCCCTACTGCAGCAAATCTCCCCCAATCCCCAAGTCTCACACAGTCCTAACCTCTCCCACGGCTCCGGTCCGCCCAGGGGGTTGATGTAAATCAAATTCCTCCTACAGACAATGGCTTTCCCTTATCCATCCTTTGCAGGCTCTTTCTGTGCTGGATGTGTGGATGGGGACACAGCACAAGTCTTTTCCTCCAGCACAGCGTTTTCCTGTCACCCTCGCTCTCTGTCCCTCATTTCTGCTGTCTCTTTAAGCCAATAGTGTTGATTGGAGCAGGCTTTGATTAGGGGCAGCACTAATTGACCATGCAGCTTTGTGCTACCCATCCCTGAGTGTGATTTCCTGGCCTTTTAAATAATCCTTATCTTTCACTGCCGCCCCCTGAGCTCTGTTGGAGCCCTGGGGTGACAGGTGGGACACAGTGACACAGGTGAAGCCTTGGATCCCTTACCCTGGGGTTTTCCTTGGCTTCAGCAGGAGGCAGAGCTGGCTGTGCCAAGCCAAGCCTGCACCATCCAGTCCTTCCAGGATTAAATCCCTTTCCCAATGGTTAAATCACCATCACAAGTCAGAGTATCTGGGGACCTGGTTTTTCCCCCAGGGCTGTGACCTTGCTGTAGGGTTCTGTCTCCCTTCCCTTCCATCCTTCCTCTGGATCTCCCAGCCTTGCAACCAGGAACATTATGCAAAACCAGTGTTTTGAGCGATCTGAATGGGCAGAGGCAGCTGCTGGGACAGCCTGAGGAGCACAGATGCTCCAGGACACCAGACACTCAAGGACAGACATCCTGTCCTTAAAATACTCTGGCTCCCAGCGAGAATTTAGAGAGGTGCCATGGGATGGTGGGGGAGCAGACAGAGAGGGGGGTCCCTGTCCCCACAGGCAGGGCAGACACACTATATTGGGTGCCCTGAAAGCCCCACCAGCAGCTGCAGCAACACCTGCTCTGGAGCTGCCCTCGGCCTCCCCTCTGCCCACGGAGGCGATGGAGCCACTCTCTGGTTATTTTTGCCAAAGCCCAAATCCTTGTTTTCCTCCTCAGGACTATTTGGGATAATGACAGGCTGCTGGTAGAGGCTGAGCGTGACCTTTCCAGCTCAAGTGCTTTGCTTGGCAAGAGCACCTCGGTGCCCATTTATAACCCTCTATTGTTCCTGTTCTCTCTCTTCCTTTCAGCCTTAATGTCAGTGTTACCTAGAAACAGCCGGTCACCCTTGCCCAGGGCCGACTGGCAGGCTGGGATCTTCACCAGTGCCTTTTTCTCCCTGGTGGAAGCTGTGCTGAGACTGCAGATTAATTCATGGGGACTTGGGTGGTGCTGGCACCCCCAGCCCTTCACTGCTCAGAGCCCTGGGATGGCCCCAGAGGGACACTGGGCAGCAATATCCAGGGAAGAGAAGGTGCCCAAGTCCAACCAGCCTCTCACTGGGCTGATTCCATCTGGGACAGCCCAGAAAAAAACAATTGTCTCATGGCTGGAGGCTGTAGTCCAGCTGTGAGATGGTCCCTGCACATCTCCAGGGGTGGGATCTCCATCATCCCATCCCATTTCTAACACCTCGATGGGTATGTGAGCTGGTTGCTAATGAAGTGAGCTGCTGCTGAGGCAAGGGAAGATTAGCAATAAATATCACTAATTACAGACACATCTCCCCAGCACAAGGTCCTCCAAGCCCTGCTGGGTTTGGAACCCATTTCATGGGGACTCTGGATGAGTTCTCCTGCAGTGAATGCTTCCAGAGTGGGAAGTGAAAGGCATTTCCCCACGCTGGGTCGCTGTGTTTGTGCACCACGGCCCCTGCCCCGGTGCACAATATCCTGCCTGTTTTCAGCCTCGCTGTTTTTCCCTCCCTGCCCTCTCCAACAGAGCAGCTGCAACTTTTCAAGCTGCAGTTGCTCCATCCTTCTGACCCCTGCAAAGGGAATGTGCACACAGCCATATTTCACGGGGATGGTGGGATGTGGTCCAGCTTTTTGTCTGGCTGCCTTAGGCACCTCCATCTGCTTAGGAAAAAGCAAAGGCAGCGCAGAGGCGTGCACAGAGCTGGTCTGGAGTGAGGAGAAATGCGAGGAGACCCAGCCCACCACCTCTGCTCATTGTTTTTCTTTGTTCCCACAATCTCTGTGCCTGGGAAAGGAGGGAGCAGCACCCTGGGCTCTGCTTTGGGACCTTTGGGTGCCCTTGCTGGGCTGCCCCATCCTCCAGGACAGCCTGGCCCCGGCCATGAGCATGAGGCAGTTAAAGGGCTGAGATGGGAGCCACGGTCTCTCATACAAAGGCTGAGTTTCAGCAAACCATTTCTGAGCAGGGCTGTGCAAGGATCGCACCCTGAGCCGCGCACAGGCAGCTGCTCTGGAGCAGAGCTTGCAGCAGCTCATGGCAACAGCATCGCTTGAGCCCTGCCATCCCCCCGTGCTCACTGCTCCCCCATCTCCATCTGCTCTCCAGCATCCCGGGGGTGCCCTGTGCCCCTCCCCACTCCTCGCTCCGCGCTGGAGCTGTGCACAGCGACAGGAATGAATTCGCCTTCCCCTCCCCCTGATCTGGACCATCAGACACGCTCTGGCATTGATTTCCTTGGCGCTCGGCTTCCTAGAGCCATTTTGCGGTATTGCAGGGGAGGGGTTTTCTTTCTCATCTCCTGTGTGCTGCTCCCTGAATAAACCTGGCTGCAGAAAAATACCGCGGGCAGGGTTTTAAATGCGGCGGAAAAATAAATAAATATTGGATTTCCTTTAATGCATCGCTAATGGTGTGGCTGCACAATATGTTTGTAATGGGCTGTTTTGGGGGGGGGGTTCTGTGCCCTCGCAGCCCTGTGGGGAGCTGAAGGGTGATGTTGGTTTGGGTTTGACACCCTGTGGGGCTGCTGGGGCTTGGGGTGGGGGTCTCCAGCTGGCTTTAACATCCTGCCCTTCTCTTTTCCCCCTTCCCCGGCGCTCCCCGCAGAAGCTGCTGACGGTAACTCCACCCTGGGAGGCGGCAATGGCACGATGGGGCTGAGCGCTCGCTACGGCCCCCAGTTCACCCTGCAGCACGTCCCCGATTACCGGCAGAACGTCTACATCCCGGGCAGCAACGCCACCCTCACCAACGCCGCCGGCAAGCGCGACGCCAAGAACGCCGCTCCCGCCGGAGGCAACAAGAAAAAATCCGGGAAGAAGGAGAAGAAGTAGTGAAGAAGAAAAAAGGAGACCTTAGAGCTACAGGGCAGCCGGCTCCAGCACTCCCCCAAAACCACAGCCCAGGCCGGAGGACGAATGTGAATTTTTTTTGTGGTGCAAAAATAGGAAATGCTGCGAATGTATCTCGTCATCATCAGAGCCGAGAGCAGGGGCTCGCTGCTCTCGGGTCTCATGATGAAAACCGATCCAGAATCTAAACCGAACGCAAACAAGTGCCCTGTGAATAACATTTTATACAATCCCTCGGGTATTAGGATATGCAAGGGAGGAAGGTCTTTTGCCATGTCTTTGGATCCGATTTTCTCCCAGGTAGTCCGAGAAAGGCACAAGGCTTGTGCTCGGCTTTGCCCAGTGTAAATAATTTTAATGTGGATCTTTTAATTTATAGCCCTTCAGCTATTTTTTGGAAAGGAAAAGGAAGTTCTTAGCTCAGAGCCCACGCTCCAGTTCTTTGCTCTTAAATTTTCCATTCGTAAAATTCACCCCCAGTCAAAGATAGCGATGGATTTTGGAATTTGGAAGTTGGTAGGGAGTGCTTCAGTTCCTGCTTACCTGTCATCTGGGGAAAAAAAAAAGTGTTTATATTGCATGATTCAAGGGGAATACGGCAAAGCTGCATCCTAAACATTTTTTTTTGTTTTGTTTTTCTTTTTGTTTTTTTTTTAAAGTGTAACCACTAATGGCCTGAAATTTGATAAGGAAAAAGCCCTCCTGCTGTGTGAGAGGCAGGGAATTCCACGAGGAGCACGCCGAGGCGTGCGGCAGCTGCCCCGGCGGTTCTAGGGGTCTCCGAAGAGCAGACACATCTCAGACCTTCTTTGCAGTAAATATTTATATGTACAGTCGATGTTCTTATGGAATTAAGGCTAAGAGAGCCTCGCTCCCCTGCGGCCAGGCCTGGCCAGGTCCCCCCCAGCCCAGGGGGACACGGGGACGACGTTTCACTGTCTGCACACGGTGTCTGCATGCACGTCCCTCACCTCACACCTGCACTAGCGCAGTAGCTCCACGGACCCGCAGAAGTCCTCGCATGCCCATGTGGCGTGAACGCGCCGGCAGCCCGGGCCTCGCGCTGGGCCTGCCCTGGGGAAGGGGTGGGAGGGGGTGGGATGGCT